CCCTACTTAGGTTTTGTTTGGGGCAGCTGCGCTGCCCCAAAAAGCTGCTGTGGGGAAGCTGACTGTCCGTTTGGGACAGTTATTTCTGGAAAAATGAACATTTTTCCCTTATTTAGTAAAGCTGCTTAAACCAAAACTGTGACAACCACATATTTGATAATTCAAAAGCAATCTAACTATATTAAATACCATAAAAAGCAATCCAAAACTTAAAACCAAGGTCTCGATGATGTTTCCAACAAGTTGAAACAAAAAGTGATGTAATTTTATATAAATAAAATTCTAGCAATGATGAAATTATCAACACACATAATCGAAGCATCCTCTAAAATCATTAGCATAATCAAAATTATATGAAATTTGGTTTACAAATTCCAAGCAAATTGGTACAAAAAAATGAAACGGAATGAGATCAAATTAAGTAAAAATACCCGGTGAAATTTTCGTGATTCTAAATTTCTAAAACAAACCAACCAGTAAACCCTAGTTTGATAAGTTTGATTTGCAAACACCCTAATCTTTTATTAATCAAGTAATTTGAAAACTGACAACAACAAAGATCGAAGTATCAGAAAGCATTGTGAGTTGATTGCAGCATAACGTAACAAGAGAAGATATCGGGAGCTGTAAGGTTTCAAAAATTTATCATACTTGCTTGGCTATCTTCGACCAACCTCATGCGACAAAGAGAGACGAAGAAGCACTGCAGAGACAGCGAAGCACTGTGACAACAACAAAACCAGGTTTCGGCCTTAAATCCCGTGATTCGGTGGACTTGGTGAATTCGGGGAGCATGCTTAGCACGAAAAAGACGTTGAGTTAACTTCCTCGATGGTTTTGGATAAGAGAGGAGCTGAAGGAGGAGAATAATGGGAGTTTTGGGTCTCTGCAAGCCCGCGATCCCGTGACTCCTGTCGCTGCGTTCTCAGCTACCTCCAATCGCGACTGTATTGCGACGAAGGCAATGATTTTGGGCAAGGTAAAAAGAAGGCACGGGGGAAAAAGCGCATCGATGAAGCTAGGCCGCGGGTGATGGCTCGCTTTCCTCGTTCGCACCAAACCGCGGGAAGCGACGGCGGCATTGCCGCCCCAAACGGGGGAAACTCCTCCGCTACCCCAAATGCATCCTTAGTTGTCAATCTAACTTCAACAAGTTGAAAAAAGTTTGTGCATGCCCCTTAACCCCATGATCATCGCATTGGAGAGATTACCAAAAGAA